CAAGTACCAGGAATCTTCCTGGGAGTAAAGGGTAGCCTGCGTGCAAGGCTGACATCCTCACTGCCATCTGTGAGCCAACTGTCTAGAACAGGCATAATCAATGCATTGATTGCGATTGACCGGTCGATCGCAGGACAATTTTTTGTTGATCTCATAGGCCTATAGGGAAATTATATGCGAAAAGCATGTAAATTCACTTGTAATATAATATGATTATATTCAGATTTTGAAGGGAAAATACGTATTAAAGTAGTCTGTACTTTCAGTGTATGTTGCTTTTACAACAAACATCATGTGTCGTGTTATTTTTACCAATATTTTTGCTTAAAGTGTGGTACGACGATAGGAGGGGTTTGTAGATCACTAGCCTAAAAAGTAGATCACAACCTGTTTGAAGTTGGACATGCCTGGTCTAGAATATGTGGGAGCCTTGACTTCTCACAACCCTATGGGCCTCCATGGCCTGCTACAGGGATAGCTTTACTTCTTTTTTCCATTATCAATACATTTTTTTTGGCTACCATTGTCACTGTTGTCCTAGCCATCAGCAGTAACAGGATGGGGCAGAATGAGAAGAAATAACACTTCTGATCAGTGAAGTTTAATGTCTTCTGAGATGTGATGCTGTGTAGTTTGGTGCATAGGTACCACCAATACACTGGCAGAACTTGCTGTCTCCATCTTCAGGAAGAAGAGATTATCCTGAAGATGGAGACAGGAAGTTCATCCAATACACTAGTTCCTATCTATTACCCTACATCAGGCATGTCCAACTTCAAACAGGCTGTGATCGACTTTTTAGTGTCAAAACTGCCAGTGATCTACCACCCCTCCTATCGTCGTACCTCACTTTAAGCAAAAATATTGGTAAAAATAACATGACACATGATGTTTGTTGTAAAAGCAACATACACAGAAAGTAAGACTACTTTAACACGTATTTTCCCCTTCAAAATCTTAATATAGTCATATTATATTACAAGTGAATTTACATGCTTTTCATCTATAATTTCCTTATAGGCCTATGAGATCAACCAAAAATCGTCTCGCGATCGACGCGTTGGACATGCCTGCCCTACATGATATCATATCCTAGAAGACAGCAGTCTTAATATTCATCATTGTGAGAACCTAAAATCTCACATTCTCTTCAGGGTTGAGTAAAATTTGGGTGTAGTCAAGCAGACACTAAGGAAATTTCAATTGTGGATTCAAAAACACGAGCTGTCAGTAATATATTGAATCTTACTGGCTGTTTAATCTAAATTGCAATCAGCCGCAGCTGTTATCAAAAAGTGTTCTGCCCACCAACATGGCAAAGCTGTTAGGTTGTAATACCTGAGATACAAAAATTCCTCTGATAATATTTACTATTATCACATTCTAAAATTTTAATATAAAGACTATTATATATGGAAATATGAAAGCATGGTTTGTTAATACCTTTCAAGAGGTGTAATCAATGGGGTGCAGTTATCTCTCTTATGAATACAGATGTTTAACAAATGTAAAATGACAACAGCAATGAAGCTCAAACTTTCATGTGGCACAAATCTGTTAAGTGACAACTGATGATGCAGTAAATTCTGAGTTGCTGAATGGAGTGCAATACACGCAAGTATTTACAACATGAGTTCTGCCCATCTGTCCATTTGGTGTAACTGTAACAACAGCTTGACTGAGTCATACAATGCTCTGATTTCATTTAACTTAAAGATGTAATAATACAAATGACTTGTGATTCATGTTATTTTGCAATGTTCAATTAATTAGTCAGATTACTTACCAAAGAAAAAGAATGATGGAGATGAAAAATGGCAAAGCTGGAAGGCATATTACAAGGCGCTACCCATATTTATCTAATCCAGATCAGTGGTTCCCAGACTGTGGTTTCAGAAATATGGGAGGGCTGCTTGCCAGAAATAAAAGCTACAGTGAAATCCCTATTTAATGGATCTCTAGGGGTATTCTTTAAACTGAAGTTTACATTTAATCGAGGTCATGCAAAATAACATTATGAAACTCTTCATCTTATAAGACTTTTTTTTTCCCCTTGGCACTACAGCCCCAGTGGGCCTAGGCCTACCTCCATGAACTTCTCCGTTCACTTCGGTGTTTCTAGATCTTACACATTCGGGAGGACTCCTTGGGTGGGTGATCAGCCCATCGCAAGGCCTCAACCTGTACACAAACACAGAAAAACGCACACACACAAACTAAACATCCATGCCCTGAGTGGGATTCGAACCCACAATCCCGGTTTCCAAGGGAGCGAAGACAGTACATGCCTTAGACCGCTCAGCTACTGTGACCAGCCTTATAAGACTTACTGTACATAATTATGACAAAATCATTTCTTTACATAAGCAGTTACAAGAAGAAACTCTTTCTGAACAAATAAACACAGTTACATTATCATTATCATCAAATTAATGTCATATGAAATAAAAACTGAAAGAACTTTAGAGGAGAATCACGCAACTGTGAAGCCTTAAGCAGCAGAGATCTGGTGGGTGTTCAGTATCTGACATCACTTGCTGAAGATTATAAATATGCAGTAACAATTTCCAGCAGACGGAAACTGCTGTTTCAACCATACTAAATCAACTTATAAATTATGGAACATTGAAAATTTCTTACATCAAATGCAGGTCATTTAATAAATCAAACTACATTAAACGGGGAAAAATGATATATTACCTATATTGGACTTTGTCTAGGGACTAGAAAACATATTCACTAAACATGGAATTTCACTGTACATAACGGAAGAATGTATGCCGATATTAATTCAAGGCAAATTAAAAAAAAAAGGTAATGTAGCTTTATTTGTCTGGTATACAGTACAATCTTGGTAATCCAATATATATGGGACCAAAGCACTGCCAGATTACTGAAAACAACGGATTACTAGAAAAAATCAGAACAAATTTCTCTATTTTTCCTGATATTGTATATTGTAGCACGTCCAACACCATATTCTTTAGCCAAATTAACAAGTTTTTCACCTTTCTCAAGTTTCTTAATCATTTCTGCTTTAGCACTTAAAGCTAAAGTCTTATGTTTACATTTGTCAGAACTGGACATCTTCAGCACACATTAAATCCACCGCTGTATGAAAAGTACTGTAGAGGAACGTATAGTACTGAAGAACTGAAACACTGTGTACTAGCTAGGATCTAAACAAATCAGTTTGTCAAGCTTGACTGAACACAATTCAGCCTATGCTGCCTGTAGAAACCTGCAAAAGGTCGCAGTTGCCTGTCTGGCGCTGATGCCAGAATACTGGACATGTTGGACTAGTGCACGGCTGGATTATCAAGACTGTACTGTATATGAAAATGCAACTCTCTGGTCTCTTCTTTCCTATATCAGACCTAACAGAAAGCATGTAGCCTGTATTCTTCTCACAACATGTGGGAGCAACGCCTGTTAAAGCAATGGACAGTATTGTAATATCAAACCTTTTCTTTCCCCTTTAGCTAATGAGTATACTTTAATGTCTTAATTTAAGTGTTATTCCAGCCTTAAAGTTTTAGCTATAATACTGTCTTACAGGAAAGGATAGCAACCATATCCTGGGCAAAAAATGGGTACTTAATCTAGTTTCTTATAAAAATGATATTTCTTAAATTATTAATTCAAGTTTCCTTTCGTTGGGAATCGAATTTGTCTATGAAACACAGTGAAATAATATACAAAGTTGTGAGAGGTTAAGCTGATGTTAAGGGTGAAAAGAAAGGGACAAATATAAATTTTAGTAGTTTCACATACCATGATTTTTCAAAAGGAAGAGAGTTCATGGAATGATTACTTTCATAACCACTGGCTAAGATAGACAGAAGAAAACCAAAAACAATTATCAAAAAACCAAACAAGCTAGCTCAAGTGGTAGTGCTTCTGACTATTACTTGGGCAGTTATCAGTTCAGATCTTGGCCAGGACACCAACAATCTTGATTGAGATTTTTCTCTATTTTTCTCAGCCTCTGTGGGCAAATGCCCAGAGCAGCAATACATTAAATTAGGCCATCATCACTTCTTCCATATCCTTTCGAACTCATTATTTGCTGCTATCCAATCATTCAATGCTATGCAGTATGAGTCACTGTCAGTAATACTGAACAAATAAAAAAAAAAAAAACTACACAAACAATTCTCAATCAGGGCAGAAGATTACTATAGGATTCTGACGATGGTGTATAACACACTGATAAGTTGGGATTTTGGACTTTATCCATCGTCCTGGTTTTTAAGATAACAAATAAAAACAGACGTTTCGGAAACTGGATCTGTTTCCATCCTCAGGTGAAGGAAAACACCTATTCAGTTGGGTCCCTTAGAAAGAGCTAGCCTCAAATCACTGAACAAACCAATGTCACAAAACATGAAGATTATAAATACCTGAGACCAGGCTAAGTCCATGAGAGCTAATAAGAAAAAATATTCATGACAAATTGTAGCAAACACTTACAAGCGTGGAACCAGGATAGATAGATCTGTAGAAATTTATGCCACGAAACTAAACTCATAACCAGGTCCATGACCCCATGGCATGGAATAGAAAGAAGAACTAGTAACAAAAACTAATAGTGTTAAACCAGCGTCAACAATGGAGTAAATCACGTCTATCTAATTTAGAATATCTAATATCTAATTTCCTTCACCTGAGGATGGAAACAGATCCAGTTTCTGAAACGTCGTGTTTTTATTTGTTATCTTAAAANCTACACAAACAATTCTCAATCAGGGCAGAAGATGCCTAACTCTGGAACGCAACCAGGTAGATTTCAACTTCATGACATACTGTATACCACCTCCATCCAATGAGCTGTTGCTACAGTTACACCTTCAGGCCAAACCCTCCCCATGCTGCCCGAGATATATACAGTTGATTAACATACAGTGTGCTACATCACAAGCAAAATGTGTGCAGCAGAATGAAGCATATGGGCCACATTTTGTAACAGACCTCCTGACAGTAACATAAGTCTCACATACCTCAGCCTTCATGTCAGCCACCTTGTCTTGCAGCTCCCGAACCTTCTCACTGTCATCCAAGTTGCTCCGAAGCTCTCCTTCAGTAACCATCTCTTCATTCTGAGGACAATGAGAGTAATTCCATGTTACAGATGCCAGCTCATTAAACAATCAATAATAGTCTTCGGAATATGCAACAATTACCTTCAGCTCCAGCAGAGAGATCCTTTGTTTTAACTCAGCCACATAATGAGAGTGTTCTGCGTCTCGGATCCTTGACATCATCAGATTCTCCTTCATCTAGAAATGAACCACAGTAAAAGGTTATTTCCTGGAGTGTCAAGATGTCTCTATGTGTATGCACCATTTTTACCCCATGTCTACCAGTAAACAGAGAGGCCAACAAGGTAGAGTATGATAAAATGGTCTTCGATTACCAGCCACATCAATTTCAAGTCTGAAGCCCAACATTTCAAAGATCTTCTCCTTATACTGATCTACCACACTGTACAAGTGATGTTCTCACAGAAGTGAATATTATGGTCTTCTTGCAGTTTGGCAGATATGTACCAGCATTTCTGAGGAACCTCTTACACTCATCTTCACCCTAAGAAATGAGGCAACAGGTTCCTCTGAAAATCACTAAACACCATATAGTGCTGAGTTTAAAAAATGTGTGGAGCTATACCTCCATTATCTAATAGGTCTTCATGACATGGGGTTTAGACAACTTTATCTGTTCCAAACAGACTGTGTGAGAACATAAACACTTGAAGATTAATGAAATTTTTATGTGAAAGCTGAAAAATAAAATAACTTCAGAGATGTAAGATTTGAGGTTTTCACAGTGGTGACTATGAAGAAAGCCATCTTCTGGGATGTGGCACCGTGTAGATCTTGTGAGAACAGACATTTAGGAGGAATGTCGATTCACACAAGATCTACACAGTGCCACATCCCAGAGGACGGTGTTCTTCAATTTCAAAGACATTTATATCATGTGTAAAAGACAACTGTGCAATGTATCCTGTAATATTTGTGTTATGCTACCATGCGACTCACTTTGGACTCAAGGTCTGTATATCGATGACTCTCTTCACGAAGTTTTGTGACATGCTCTCGTTCCCGATTCTCGGCCTTTTCTAGCTCTTCTCGGAGGTTCTTGTTCTCCTCATCTTGACGGCGCAGTTGGTTGGTGCTCACCTGGACCTGAAAGCACCATAAACTATACACGTAATATGACTGGATAACAGTAAAAACGAACTGGAAGTATGTGGAAGGAAGCGGTTGTGGCCTAATTTAAGGTTCTACTCCAGACTTTCCCAGAGGAAAACCATGACAAACTCCAATCAAGACACAAGCGTTACTGCCCATGTATTACATGCTGACTGGTTCTGTATGTTCCTTGCAGGTTATTTGGTGGCACTTCCAGTATCAAGACCATGAAGTGTCACATGGTAGGAAAACAGATGAATGATCATGAATTGGAAAGGATCTGAAGGAAAGCAGACATGGCCAAACCAAACTACTATCCCAGCATTTGCCTGAAGGGGGTGTAGAGCATTACTGCTAGACCAGCCTGTTCAGTGACTGGATCCAAGTACTGGGTTTAGACTGATTAATGGACTGACAGTTGGTACAACTGCAGTTCATTATTTGTGACCACTGGCAACACATTACCACTGCTCCACCTTTTTGCACTTCCTGCATTATTGATGTAATAGTCATATTCAGACATATGGGCTGTATCCGTGCATAGCGTGAGTGCAAGAGAAACATCCACATGCTTACAGTACCAGGCTATCATGTTAGAAGCTGCATTAAACAGGAACTGCTGGTCATTGTTGTCATCATCACTGTCATCACCATTGCCTCGTCATAATCATAATCATTATCGTCAGGGCCTGGATTTTGATGACCTAAAAATATTTTAAAAATGACTAAAGAAATCCAGAAAAATGACCTATAAAATGACTGAAAAATCCAGAAAAATTATCTAAAAGTTAAAAAACATGAAATGTATCATGTCATGGAAAATCTACTAATTGTTTTAAAATGTATTTTAATCTTTATTAACACTGTGAACTCAACCTTATTCTTTTAAGTTTGTCCTCGATTTATATTGAGACAATTAAGCAATATATGATAGCGGCCTCCGTAGTCTAGAGGTAATGTTCCCACCTCATGACCCGTGGTACGCGGGTTCAAATACCCAGCAGAGGTCGTGGAATTTTTAAGGGCGGAAAAAATCAGGGAACAAGTCCTCCGGGAGGGACGTTAAGCCGTGTGTCCTGTGTCATAACTTTACGGCACGTAAAAGAACCTCATATCTCCAAAGGAGATCACTGTGCCAAATTCCCGGACATTTCCCGCCCAACAATAGTCTCTAAGGCCTCTGATAGATGGGGGAAGCATTATAGACACCGCCAAGCAAGTGGCTGAACTCGCTTGCTCGGCGGGACTGATGGCACGCACCATTATCGGTAGGGTATAGAGACTGGTAGAATATCATAGAGGGAAGCACAATGGACCAATACTGGTCTAAGTGCATGGGGAAACCTACCCTCTCCAATAACTAACTAACTAACTAAGCAATATATATGATTGAATTTGAAGCTAAATGTTTTATTACGATTTTTCTACCGCCATAGACTTAAACTGCATTTTACGAGTTGGAGCCTTGAGAAAAATCTTCTTCGTCCACGACACGAGAGCATCTACTTGAGGAAATCTTGATCTCACTTCCTCCATCACTCTATGCAGTGCATGTGCTAGGCAAGTAACATGCCCCAATTTCATATAAAACAACTTTATTGACTTGCCTGCTTTTAAAATATATGGGGTCGTATATACCCTTGGGCCACAGTAGAAACATCGACCTGTCAAAGAGTTTACAGAGTATGGAATGATTAAAGGATCCTAGGACCTCACTCGTAGGCAGGAACATTTCACTTGGTCTACCAATTTCCAAGGTTCCAATGATGACGTCTGCCACGTAGCGAGCCTCCGTATCACAGGTATCATCAATAGAAATGAAAATATTCTTCCCATGCACTCTATTCCTAATCATTTCCAGGATATTGTTATAACACTTGGAAAGGAAGTTTTCCCGAGGGTGGATTCATCCGGGACAAAACAACCACAATTCTATTCCAGAAAATTATTTAGTTTTTTCATTTTTCAGAGCCCAAAATGAAATATTTGCAGACATCAGAGCATCACACAGATCTGGGAAAAAATCCGATGACTTATTTCCGCCTTCAGATGGACACTGTTGCAGTAACATTTGCACAGATTTCTTTTTGTTCAAAATTTGCGCTGCTGGTATATGCTCTTTGCGGCCGATATGTTGTTCTACCATGAATCTTTTTTTTTTTTTTTTTGCTAATTTTGTATCACACATCTTACAGTTTAAATTTTACCGTCAGTTGAAAATATATCATCTCCAAATTCAGCTACAATCTGCTTTAAATGACACGATTTAGATGGCTTTGCTTTAGGCATCGTGATGAATTGAATCACTCTAATACAACAGAGAACTAAACTTTTCACACTGAAAACAATTTGTCAACTGTATCTTTGTCTTTACAGTCAAGGGTGAGAAACTGAAGACAGACAGAGTTCTATTGAGCAACAATACATCATAAAAAGCGAGGGATTCCGATTAGAAATATTTGCAACTAAGCAAATTCCTTGGGCCACGCCATAGCTCAAGCGTTTAGTCACTGGCTTCCCACTGCTGCGGCCCAAGTTCCATCCCGGGTCTGGTCAAGTGGGATTTGTGGTGGACAAAGTGGCGCTGGGGCAGGTTTTGTCTGAGTACTTCAGTTTCCCCTGCCAATCTTCATTCCACCAATTGCTCCACAATCACCCTCACCTATCATCTGGGGCCGGTACAATAGGCCAGAGGTGGCCACAGTACAAGGGACTTAGTCCCACTCCACTAGCATAAAAAAAAATCCTTTCCACAGAACTTGGAAAGGTCCGCAGTGTGAGCGACCGCTGTCGTATCCTGCTGCCAGCTTAAAATGTTTTATATGTATTGTCAGCACTTTCAGCAAAACGAACGGAAAGGACGGGACATTATTACAACTTCTTATTGCATACTGCGGTAGCAGGTATTTGTGGTGCAGCTGCAGGCTGCCTTTGTAGAGGCAGGAGAAAGAGAAAGAACACTTTACTTGCATATTATTCACATTTCTGAAAACATATGAAGAAAAATTTCCTAAAGTGGCTAAAATGACAAAAATACCCTTAAGAGTCCAAAAATTTACTGAAAAATGACCCCAAACCGAAAAAATGACCTAAAATTTAAAAATGATGAAAAATGTTAATTTCTTTAACCAGCAGCTCATCTCCAGGATTTATATATTTACAGGCACTGAATAGGAAACAAGAAAAAAAAAAAGACGACATGTCATCAAAATATGGGCCCTTATCATCATCATCATCATTATCATCACTGTCCATTGATCCTTCTTCTGTTCTTCCTTCATGTCTACTTTAGGTCATAGGCCTGGTTTCTCCAAAGAGTGAATCTCACTGATAGGAAGGGAAGCGAATGGGCATCTGCCCCCCCCACAAGATTTCAAAAACCAAGTGAAGAAAATAAGAAAATATATCAAATATTTGTAATAAAAACTGAAAGTATTTAAAACATATTCTTTTATCCTGAATCCTCTACAGATGATTAGTAAAAATTACTCTTAAATGATTTCAACATAACTTCATTAGCAAATTTTCACCAATTTTAAGGAACTGGAGAATATCCTAAAAACTCTCTATTTGTACAGCAAGTCTCCTCAGAACATGCAGCTCCCAAATTGGGCATCATCAAAAAAGAGGTGTCTCACTGTGATGTTGCTTCATTCCCACAGCCAGTGAATGTACTCTCACCTGAGTTTCTAACTCCATGACTTTAAGTCGCAACTCCTTCAGCTCAGTCAGGACCTCCATCTCTCTGATTCGTGTGGTCATCAGTTCTTCTTCAAGCCTCTGAGTTTCATTGCCACGATTCTCCCAGAACAGCAGTTTCTTGGGTGTGCTATCAGGTGGAGGAGTTGCTTCCACACGATGCTCCTGCAGGGACCACAGAATGAAAAGTGAATCTCACAAAACGTAAGTGGTTTCAATGCCGAAACTAGGTCACAGACACATATGAGCTCCACATAAGGTTTTCCTTTTTTTACTTTGTAAAGAACACCTGAAGTGACTTATAATTGACAACAAATGTAAACAGATTATGGATACAGAAAGTGACTTTGCTACTGTGTACAGTGCTTAGCAAAATAACATGCTCCCATATGAACTGCCCACATCACAGTCTGTGTGCTGCATCTTTCACTTCAGCTCCGCTCACTTACCTGCAGATGGCGCTGCCACTGCTGGCTCAGCTCCCCAACTCGCTGCCGTAGGTCTTTCAGTGAGAGATTTGCTTCTGCCTCACGCAATTTCACTGCTATCAGCTCCTCCTGGAGGTGAGCCACAGAGTTGTCTGGTGTTGATTCACGCAGTGTCTTCTTGTCCTGGGCATATACTAACTCTTAGAAACATTTCATTCTGACAGAGCACCACACAGCCACATGTTCAATCATCGCAACACTGGATGGTGAGGGGGAGAGAGGGGGGGAGGAGGACAAAGAACAAAGAAAGAAAGAAAGAAAGAAAGAAAGGGTAAATATGGAAGACACATTTACGTCCAGATTTAAGGGACAACTATGGTGGTCATGCCAGGACCACCACAAAACAGAAATAGAATCCACAGATTTTAATGAGTCATTTGCTGCACTAAAATCACAAGACATTAGATTGTATTTTTTTGTAATTGTAAGAAATAATAATATAAAAAGAACTGTCAAAATTTAAATTTGTTGTTACTGATAGGATCCCATTTTGTACTTCCTGGACTTCCAGTCCAGGACTTTGTAGATTTGAGTAAAAATCAAACAAGTTGTGTACAATATACCTAAATAAGTGTACATATAGTTTTAGTCAGTTGGGTTGATTTGTTACACAGAGAAAGTTTACATCTTTCAAATATTAAAAACAGACATTTCATTTATAATCCAGTCATAGCTTTTGATAAGAATGAACGTTGAGTAGGACGCCAATTTTCTTGGATTATGGCTTGAACCTGTCTTTTCAACTAGTCGATGACTGATCAGATGTTATTTTGCAACAAGAGAAGCCATACATTTTTGTTGCAGTAACTCCAAGCACTGAAATGTTTCTCTCTGGGTTTTGGTAGGCAGCTTACAGATTTAAATCTAGAGAATTCTGTGGTCATCCTATGAATGTAACAAATTCACCTGGAGCCTCATCATCTGGTACTTGGCTAATTACAGAGTAAGGAGTTACTAAAAAAATACTTTAAGAGAAGCAGAAATCTGTTACTTAAAACTGGTATAAATTTCAAATTTAAAGTGGTGTACTTATAAATTTAATTAAATTCCTGGGCATATAAGTAGATGGGAAAGAGATATATTATTAAGAGGCTGGAATAGGTGATTCACCCAATCCATGAAATGATGATGATGAATAACCTGGGCTCATACTGAAGCCAAATACTAGCTTGAAAATTGTAGATTCATGGCACTATCATGATTCTATCGTAACCTTCATCAGGAACATTTAAATTCCTGACACATCAACTCCCTGCTGGAAGTAATGGGGGCTTAAACAACTCAAGTTGCAGAGCTTCCTATAGTAAACAGTGCTTATTCCATTTCTAAAGGTAGAAGTTCTAGACATAAACTAGATTATTAGGAATTAATTCAGATGTCTGTATACAAAGTTTCAAAATCACCAGTCTTTGTGTATATACACAGTCTCGATTAGATTTTTTAAATTGATTTTTTTTGTTTTCACATGTTTAAATTATATCATGTTTCAAAATAAGGCAATGACTTGTAGTCTTATTGCCATGAAGCTATGACAATAACTATGCCCCTTAGCTTCGTGTGTCACCATCTGCTGCTATAAAGGACTTCCTTTCCGCCTGCAGTCTATTGTTCTCTGACTGCTTTAAACAGAACGTAAATGTCTGATATCTAGCTCTTACTCTTTCACTGAGAAAGGAACAAGAGGCAGTAATACTCAGCCAAATATCAGACATTTACTGTTCCAATTAGAGCAACCAGAGAGCTACAGATTGCATGCAGAAAGGAAGTCCTTATTATCTTCATTGTTTCTCAGATTGTGAAACAATTCATATTTTATATACCTGTATGAATGCCTGAAAAACTGATAAAATAAGCATTAGACTACCCATATACTGTCATTTATTTATCTGTAGGTTATTTCAGTGTTGTCTGTATCAAGACTATAGCATCAAATCATAGGCTGTTCGAAGGCAGGTATTTGCCTGGAGAGACTATGGAAACCCACAAAAACTCTCACTATTGTCTCATTCAAGATTCAAGCCAAGCACCTCTACAATATGTCTCTACAACATTACTGCTATGTCAGTCTGTTCAGCCAGACAAACTGTTGCGTTGTGCCACATCCATCCTGAAAGCTTACACAAATGCCAACAGGCAACTGCCATAATACACACACTGATTATGGAAAAGCAGACTCACAGAGATACTTAGAGGGAGAAGGAAACAAAATACACCTACGGCATCTTCTGGGATGTGATGGCATGTAGTTCAGTGGAAGTTTACTGACACTCGCAATTACTGGGTTTTTGTACTTTGTTCATTGTCCAGTATTCTAAAAAACTAGAGAATACAATGTTCTGGAAACTGGATCTGTTTCTGTCCCCTCTCACCTGAAGATGGAAATGGATCTGGTTTCTGAAATGCTGTGTTCTCTACCTTTCCATAATACCGGACAATTGACAAAATAAAAAAAAACCCCGTAATTCTGAGTGTTACACCGTTGTCAGAACCCTACAGAATCTACAAGTTTACAGACGTTCCTCTGAAACCACAGTGTCACATCTGAAATGATATTACTGTTCACAGTCACAGATGATAGAACCTTGAATCTCACAAGATATACCTAATTCAATGAAAGACTGAAATTATTCAAATGTTGGTAGGCCAGACAAGTAAGTAAATGACAACAAAATGAACCTGATCAGACAGATGAAAATTATGACATCAAAGAATGAACAAAAATTAATACCTATTCAAAACATTACTTCTGGACATCTGGATAAGTACAAACAGAACATATTGGAATTTTACACATTATGTTAGAGGACTGGCAACATACTGCCTGGAAGAATTTCTGCGTTCAAGAAGCAGTGTCAAGTTGTGTGAATATTCCTGCTTCAGACTGACCACTCACTGGAAAAGTATAACATTTCAGTGACATTCACTCTGTTACTGTCTACAGAGTACACAGAGTATAAATTAATTTCTTCAATTATATTGAACATTGTACAATTTTAAAAAAAGTGTATTATAAAAAAAAATTATTTCTTTTTTCTCTGCAACTTTGATTCAAAACATTTCTTTTCTCCCATAAATATTTAGGAAGTTATGGTCAAGATATATACAGAAACATGTGTAGGTCCTCATGTAAAGTGTGCTGTTACTGATTCTAGTAACGATGAATATATCAACTCTACAGAACACGGAAGCATGTTCCTCCAAAATAGTGGTGTCCATTTATGAGATTAAGTGTTGTCAAAATCTGAAAAATTATTGACACAAACACATCAGGCTTATATTAATAACATCTGAAAGAAATCTCAAGAGGTAAGTAAAACAGAGCACTAAGATAAAGTAGTGAAGCAGCTGCTTGTTTCATACCTCTTCAAGCTCCTGTATTCTTGCCCGCAAGTCACGTATCAAAGCATCATTTTCAGCTTCCCGCAGCCGCACCTTCACCAGCTCTTCCTGCAGACATTTAATGAGGTCCTCCTTCTGACACAGCAGTTCTCGCTTCATGCTGATCTCCTCTAGGGACGACTGTCTTGAGGTATGCTATATTGAACAACATCTCCACTTTAATTTGGTCCTTGTAATAGAGTGAGAACTGTGAAGAGAGTTTGACAGATATTTCACTGATCTGAAAAGAACATTTCAAAAGAGCAAGAATATCAAAACAAGAGATATTCATGAGATCTGGGGTTTATTTGGTGATTGCTTCAGCCATTGTTCTGCTGTCCCTTATGCTGATGATATCTGCAGTATAGCATATGAACACCACTGACTGAATTCTTTCACATAAGTGCCTCTTCACCTCATCCTCTTTCTCTTCTGCCCGATTACCTATTACTGACTACCAGTCCACAGACTTGGATCCCCTCACCCATATTTTATGAATTGATCCAGCTTCATGAATGTTATGCTAGAAGTATTAACATGCATCTGTTTGAACTGACAGCACAGAAATATGGGGGCTTCAAGTATGTGAAGCCACAAATTACATGAGTACAGGATATTTTCATATATGAGGCTAAAAGTTGCAGTTAAAAATACGATATTTGATTCCCCCCCCCAAAAACAATTCTTATTTATAGCATGGATGCATTAATTATACAAGTACATACTGTACCAAAAATGTTAATAGTTTTGAAAGATGCTAAGGGAACCAGACACATAAATGGGAAAATGGACATTAGGATAACATAACCATACATTTTTCTCATAATAGAAGAAAAACAGGCAAGAAACTGGCCCAGAGGGTATACAGGACACACAGCATTATGACACTAAACAGGTTAAAACTCACGGTTTCCTCCATAAGTAAGGAAAGGTTCCGTATTTCCTCATTAGCTATTTCGAGCTGATGTGATGTCTCGAGATGAGTGTGTCGTAGAGCTGCCAACTCTCGCTGCACCACAAACGTTGTTTCTTCCTCTTCAGCTCTGGACACTTGTCCCCTCACTAGCCGGTCAGCTAATTCACTGGATTCTGCCTCCAGCAGCTCAACTCGCTGTCGAAGCAGTCGATTCTCTGTCCGTAGCCTCTGCACAAATGTAATAACAGTCATTATGGTAGAAAACTGAGTCAGAGCAGTTGATTCTCTGTCCATAGCTGCTGCACAAATGTCATTATGGTTGGAAACCAAAGCTAAGTACTCAGCTTCATAACCTACTCCAAGGATGGCAAACTTATGGCACAGACTGAGCTATTAGCTAGCACTGGTAATAACAGATTCTGTAGCTGACTCAACAGTTCACCAAGTCATAATTCTGTTTCACCGAAATAAACTTTCACTATTACTTTATAGAGCAATACCCAGAATTGAAAAGGATGGTTACCCAGAAGAAGAAAGCTGTACAAAAACAGCGTTGTGTTGTCTTGTCAGTGATTCTGAACTGTGAGATACAAAAAGTAAAATTTAAAAAGCCACCTCTCAAACAATGGGAAAGCAGAGTGCTTTTCTGAGATGTAATGCTGTGTAGTCTGGCTAAGACCACCAATGTCTTCTTACATCACAGAATATATGTGGTGCAATCCAAAAGTTCCCGAAATATATTAATAAAAACTATTACATCTTACCTAGATCTTATTCTGCACCATCACCTTCAGAGTAGTCCCCTTGGGAGCGCATACACCGATTCCAGCGTTTCTGCCACTTTTCAAATGCATCCTGGAAGTCTTTCTTTGTTAGGGTGTTTAGTACCGTCTGTGTGTTTCCTCTTGAATTTCCTCAACTGTATCAAATCTTCGCCCCTTCAACTTGATTTTCATCTTGGAGAAGAGAAAGAAGTCGCATGGAGCTAAGTCTGGCGAGTATGGTGGGTGGGGAACAACTGCCATCTTGTTTTTAGCCAAAAATTCCTGCACAATGTAAGCCATATGCAGTCATGCATTGTCATGGTGGAGTACCCAATCGTTTGTGCACCACTTCTCTGGACGTTCTCCTCATGTTCTCCCTCAAACACCTTAGAACAACGCGATAGAACTCTTTATTGACTGTCTGACCAGGAGGGACAAACTCTTTATGAACAATCCTGTCAATATCAAAAAAAGAAGATCAACATGGACTTAATGTTGCTCTTGACTTGTCGAGATTTTTTTTGGCCGAGGTGAAGAAGGGCTCTTCCATTGCGACGACTGCTGCTTGCTTTCAGGGTTGTAGCCATAAACCCAACTTTCGTCACCAGTGACAACCTTCGAAAGAAAGTTTGGATCCTCTTGAAGCTGTTGCTGAAGTTACCTGCAGACTTCCAAGCGATGCTGCTTCTGTTCATTTTGCAGCAGTCATGGCACCAACTTCGCCGTATTCCTCATGTTCAGTTCCTCTGACAAAATTCATTGACATGTACCATAACTTAGTGCCAAGGTGTTACAGAGGTCTTGGATGGTCAGTCTACGATCTTGCAGAATCAGATCCCTAACTTTCGTGACATTTTCTGGTGTTTTGTCCATTGACGGCTGTCCCGAACGATCGTCATCATCAGTCAATGTTCGGCCATTTTTAAAACGCTTATACCAGTTGTAAGTTTGTGTCTGGCCTAAACTGTTTTCACCAAAAGCTTGCTTCAACATTTGGTGCATTTCTGCAGCAGTTTTCCCAAGTTTGAAACAAAACTTCATACAGACACGCTGCTCTCTCAGGTCAGCCATTGCAAAACCGCAAACTCACGGAAACACAACAATGGAAATACGTTCACCAACAATAAACCCAACCACTCAACTTGATGCCGCTTGCCACACTGATTCAAGGATGTGTGAGGAGACACCTAGCGGAATTTCGATGTACTCATAACCATTCGCGCGCCAAATTCAAATTTCAGAAACTTTTGGATTGCCCCACATAGTACTCTTCAGAGTCACCAATGTGAGAACCTCAAATCCAACAACATGAATGTAGTCTGTGTCATTTTCAAAACAATCACATACAAAGAATTCTACCTTCAATATAACACCATGTAGTCCATGGAAAGTCAATTTGACATTTCAGAGGAATATGTTGCCTCCACCTTCAGGGTCGAAGAATAAGCCAAGCAAGAACAAGCATGAAGCAGGTAGCAAGGAGATTCTGCTGGTACTTGCTTGGCTTATTCTCCGACCCTGAAGACAGAAACATCAGCTGACCTTCAACAGACTACACATTGTTACATCCCAGAAGACAAAACTTCTTCACAACCACTGCTGTGAGAACCTCCAGTCTTACAACTACATACAAGCTGAAATCTTAAGAAATGCGTAAAAATGTGCAGATTGAGTCAACCTGGAGTTACTAAGGCAATGAGGACGGCAGGCACTGATTTTCACTGGTAAAGTAAAAAAAAGTAAAAAGTAAAGCTATCCCTGTAACAGGCCATGAAGGCCCATAGGGTTGTGAGACATTGAGGGTCCCACATTATCTAGACAATCGGCTCAAAGATGGAGGTAGGTTTGTCAGCCTTACACGCTGGCTGCGCTTTACTCTCCAGGAAAATTATTTAATTAATTCCTGGTACTCATTTCTGTTAGAGGCTGAGTCAACCCCAGGGTCATAGTGCGGCTGGAAGGATTAGGTCATTGAAAAAAAACCAATGACCTCATCGGGACTTGAACCTGCGACCTTCTGGCTTGTAGCATTGTGCCTCAACCAACTACGCTACCACGTGCCCCACTGATTCTCTCTGGTAAGAAACTTAATGTAAATCTGCCACCAGGAACAAAGCGGTGTGCCATCTCTCACTACTGCATGGTACAGGACTGTCTGTGAGCATACGATAATTACACTGCTGGTTAAGAAAATCCTGCTTTTGTGNGGCGCGCACTTGATTGTACGCACTGTATATCTTGTTCCTGGGGAAGTCATTACTATGAATTTGAGAATTCTGTTCACACAGAAACACTACCAGCCTCTCTCACGTGTACATACCCTGAGCTCCACCATCTCTTCCTGTTCCTTCGTTTTCATCACCGTGTATTCCTTTTCAAGCTTCTTCATGTGTTTAGGGTTGAACTTCATGTTATACGCCAGTGTCATAAGTCCATTTGGATCTGCCTTTGCACGGGGAGGCAGATCTTTCTGGAAGAACTGCAAGACATATCTCTGTTCATATCAATCCAAATCTGTCAAATATGATAGTACAATCCATATGGTTCATTTCTTCTTTGGCTGCACCATAGCTCAAGCGGTTATTCGCTGGTTTCCCAAGGCGGTGGCCTGGGTTCGATCCCGGGTCTGGTCAAGTGGGATTTGTGGTGGACAAAGTGGCGCTGGGGCAGGTTTTGTCCGAGTACTTCGGTTTCCCCTGCCAATCTTCATTCCACAAATTGCTAAACAATCACCCTCACCTATCATCTGGGGCTGGTACAATAGGCCAGAAGTGGCCGCAGTACAAGGGACTTAGTTCCATCCCACTAGGAATAAAAAAAAATATGGTTCATAGCTTACCTTCAACATGCCCTCCATGTCAAGGCACAGGAGGTCTTCCTTCCCCAGTGTGAGGAGGGCCAGAGCCACTTTGAAGATGACTTCCATCCCTTCTGATAAGAACACATCCATGATCCTACAGGCAACAGGCAGTGGCAAAGCAGTTGTGAAGAGTGTGAGGAACCAGCTTGAAGCATACATGCTGGTATGAAAGCTCTGGGACTGGAAGTGGACATGCAGATCCGGAATCAGCTCCTGTGAAGTGTGATATTCTCATAACAAATATCCGCAAGAAGACACTAACTTAATGCATACAGCTTGCACAGTCCCTGTATCATTTTGCACATTCACTTCAGTCCTTAGTGCAACTCTCTTCACAATCCCTCTTTAATTTAGAGTAACATTAAAATCACAATCAACTGCTACATGTTTCAGTCTTACTTTGCCATCCTCAGGGAACTGTTCACTTTTTGAAACTGCCACACTGCACTAGTTCTAAAGTTAAAATATTTCAGTGCTATTGCATGTTTTGTCATTCACACTAAACTACATTTGTTTGAGAACATAACTCTTGATCCTTTCCTTCCTCTTGCAGTGTCCGTATTTTTATGTGGTTTTATTTAGCCCTATGAACATCAGCATGGTGTTGTCATCATTGTTATTTTTATGTGTCCCCTTATTATGTATGTTACCATTAGTCGAGCAGGGAAGGATAAGGAGTTATGTTCTCAAACAAATGCATTTTAGTGCAAATGACAAAAATGCAATAGCGCTGAAATATTTTGACTTAAGAACTAGTGCAGTGTGACAGTTTAGAAAAACGAACAGTTGCCTGAGGATGGCCAAGTAAAGCTGAAACATATATAAGTTAATTGTAATTTTAATGTTATTTTAAATGAAAGAGAGACTTTGAACAGAGGTGCATTAAAGACAGACATGAATATGTACACTGATACATCATTGCGACAGTATGATGAAACACAATATTCAGTACCTGTAGTTTAGCCATTTTGCAAAGATGAGAATAGCTTCTTAGATATACAACTTCGGAATTATATTTCTGACAGTTTAATGCCATCTGTAGTGACAAAGAAAGAAGAATACATTGCTTAATCCTGTTATCCTACTGGGAAAGAGCAGTATACATATTACTCTGAACAGAAAACAGTATCTTCTCATATGCAGATTTTGAAGACTAAAGAACATACTGAACAGGAGCTCATTTCTGAGTGACTGATGAAACAGTCTCATTTAACAGCAAAAGTGAGCTTGATGAAGACACAGTAGCAGTGGATGAAAAGTTAATGCAATCAGAAGGCAAGATAAAATTTGGTAAATAACATATCTTCAGATTTATTCATTTCTGTGACAACATTAATTAACCAAACAGGACAAAAAGAACTATGACAGGTTCTAGAAAATTAGAACTCATATTTATAAGCTGAACGCTAAATATGCTAACCTTTATTGTAGTCTGAATGTTCAGCTGTAGATGAAGTTATTGTGCTCTTCAAACTGAAATATTTTCTACCAATAAATTCCTAATAAATATAAAGTCCAGGATATAAGGTTCTACAAACTGTAGAAGACTGGCTAAACTTGTGAAAGGACAGGTAAAATTCCACAGAGATGACTGCACATGTGATAGTGAAAAGTATTACCACAAGTCTTGAAGGGATTTAGCAATGTTGAACATCCCTATCAATCTGTCATCCTGTGGTAGGAAAGTAAGTCACAAAAATTTCATCTGATTTCAGTTTGAAATTTTCTGAAGTTAGTCCAAAGGAGCCACCCCAAATACAAGCCAGTCAAATATTCCACTTTCAAGACAGACACAGTGACCTTTACATTTCTGCAAGATTGTGTTTGTGGCATTGTGGCTGCTTATACACAAATGAAGGAGCTACTATCAAATGAATCTATCTGCACCATAAAGTCAGTCTGTGTGTAGACTCATGTTTCTGAAATTACCATAAAAAGGAAACCATTTCCAGAAATGAAAGTACCATATATTTGGATTTACATAAAAAATTTATTTCAGGAATATACACGTACTACCACAGTCAATAAGTTCGTGGAATGGCCGCAAAGCGTCATGCGGGAATTTACTGCCAATATGCTTCATCAATGTTTTTGACAGCTATATCAACGTTGACAGATTGCCTAGCGGCCAACAGCAACTATTTTGAGTGCCAATGTGGATCTGCATAAGTGTAAGTGAATACCTTGTAATATCATGCGATAAAACCATATTCCACGAACTTAATGACTCTACCACATATAAGCATTATTGGAAACGACTTCATAATAACGAAGAAATAGCAATATGCAATTTTGAAAACTTTTTATAATATTGTTCATTACAATAATTTAACAGGTGTAGTTCCAAAAATATATACATTTCTTCAATACTACTACTGCATAAAACCCCCTAAGTTAAAATCCAGCCACCAGCCCCAGCGTTCAAAGCACCCACTGTCATACAATTAAGGTTAAGCGTTGTTAGTGCTGCTCCCACCTCACAAGTTCATGCATCTGCCATGATGTAGAAAATTAAAAGTATGAAGTTTGGGTCATTTCTATTGGCATGTCCAAATTTTATAAAATTTTGTCAACTAGTTACAAAGTTGACATGAGGGACATACAGCATGGGTAGTCCACAAGACTGTTGTTTCCCTTTTTAAAGAAAAAATTAGGCTGAAAAATAATGCCAAGTCAAAATATCTACAGTTTTATAAAGACAAATAGTATAGTTACCAGTGGAATCCATAAATTAACCTGTAACTGAAGCACAATTATTTTCATGTCAGTCAAACGAAAACAGGTCACCACACATAACTCACACGGCATGCAAGTTGGTAACACTGGAATTTGTCTACAGTACGAACATCTGGTGGGGACCCAGGAAAGCACAGTGACAACGTGCCCTTGCACACTAGTCGTTTGTTTATTGTGCTGGAAGTAAGGTTAGCACTATGTGTGGTTGTCCAACATCAGTAATGGAGGCGGGTAAAGAAGAATAGCAAAGTGTAGTGCGCTTTTTGACAGCTGAAGGAGGACGAGAAATACATTGTCGCATGTCTGTTGTTTATGGTGAACACAGCATGTCACATTCGTGTGTGCTGGCGTGACATAAGAGATTCCGAGAGGGACATGTGTCACTGCAAGATGATGCTTGCCAAGGACAGGCTCGTGTCATCACTCCTGATGTTATTGCTGCATTGGATGGTCATATCCGGGCAAACCAACAGATGACTGTGGAAGAAATTAGTCTTTTGATGGGAATAAGTCACGGTTCTGTACATGTCATTGTGACAAAACACCTGCTGCACCGCAAAATCTGTGCGAAGTGGGTTCCACATCAACTCACGGAGGAACAGAAGACTCAGAGAATGGCTGCATCACTGGGTCACTTGCAAAGATACCATGAAGAAGAGTATGCTTTTCTGTCCCATATTGCCACTGGGGACGAAACTTGGTGCCACCATCTTGAACCCAAGAGCAAACAGCAGAGCCAACAGTGGAAACACGTGAATTCTCCCCCACAGAAGAAATCCAAAGACGTACACACAAGTTCCAGTAAAGGGATGATGATGTTCTTCTTCGACTGCAAGGGCCCTCTGCTTGTCGAATTTCTCGAGCATGGGGCCACAATCAGTGCACAACGCTATGAAGACACTTTGCAGAAACTGAGACATGCATAAAGTCAAAACGCACTGGAGTGCTATCGAACGGCATTATCCTTCTTCATGATAATGTGCGCCCCCACACTGCCAACTCTGTGAGGAATACGCTACAGAGATTTGGTTGGGAAGTGCTTCAACATCTCCCCTACAGCCCAGATCTCTCCCCATGTGATTTTCAAATTTTTGGAGATCTGAAGAGAGACATTTGTGGACACTGGTTTGCATCGGACGAAGACGTGTGTGGCTGGGTAAAGTTGTGGTTCCATAGACAGCCCACAAGTTTTTTCAAGGATGGGACTGACTGTCTTATCTCCCAGTGGGATAAATGTACTGTATTAACAGTTTAGGAGATTACTTTTGAGGTAAGAAATGTTCTTTAATATGTTTTGGCTTCTGACCCGTTTTCATTTGACTGCCCCTCATATAAATTATTAGGGCATATACAACTGATATATGACATGTTGATATTGTGATGCCTGGCCTAAAAGCCAGAGTATCAGAGCTGGAGCCAGGCATCCATTGCCAGCCAACAGCTGGGCAAACATATTCCCAAGCACTACAAGAACAGGTGCCCATTGCTATGCAATGGTTCTAGTTCCTATGGTTCAATGTTTCGCTGTTGAAAGCGGATAACCAAAGCAACGAATTATAGGAACGTCTTCTTAAAAGAAAAATAAGCAAAGTGACACCCTTCGGGGCAGTGTCTTCTATCGTGGCTGCCTAACAGTTATAACCAGAATACGAGAGAACACAGAAGACCAGATACAAGAGCAGAAGAGGTTTTCTATGTGGTCCAAGCTGAGGACTCTGCGAGTCCTAGGGAAAAAGGGAAGTCTCAAATCTGAGACAGTAAAATATGGTTGCGAATCCAAAGGGGCTGAGACCCAAGAAAGAGAGTGCTGGAAAGGGCCAGGAGCATATACAAAAGACAGACCAATCCTCTCATCAGATAAGGTGCCCCACAAAAACAAGAACATAACTGTCAAACAGTAATAAATATATGGTCATGAGCCTCAGATGGGGCTCGACACCAAGACTTACCGAATGCCTAACCATCAGTTGCAATGTGACTTTGACTTTGACAGAAGACCAGATTAAGACAGAACACAGAAGAAGGCAAAGTGACTCGACAGTGAATCAATGTGCTTTCGAGAATGAAGCAGAGCTATGCAAAGAGGGATTCGTTACCCAGGAGTTGAGTCTGTGAACTGTTATAACCGAGTGTGATTGTAATAGTGATGTCAAATAAACCTCATCATCAAATCTAGAATCTACAATTATTAGTCATGCACACCCCCTACACTTGACAATATATTTAATCGTCCAACTCTGCTGCAAATATTTTGTCAATTGGCCTGTCCTTGTTGCATCGGATGTGCTAAAATGATGAACATATTCCAGCTTCAAGAGTTTAAAAATATTTTAAATGCTGGAAGCTTCTTTTGGCATATGCATGGAAATAACTGTGAGTATGAAAGGCTTGAAGTATACTTGATGTATAATGAAGACATATATATGTGGTTTGACTTGTATGCATAGTATAATAGGGCCATTTTGCATAAAAATAACTTCCTTACGCTGTATCCAAGGCAAGTGCTGGGTCAGTAATGAAGCTCTGAACTTACAAATGGAGGATGTGATAACATGTTGTCTGCTCATGGCTATCATACATCTTAGGTGGTGGCAACAGATGATATGATGCCACTTCATCCATCCCAAATCTTACAGCTCTGTGGTGAAAAGCTAGCACCTAACCAATTCAGCTATGGCACAGGTGATCTTTCTGCATAACCCCTGGTGTTTTGGCAGGGTAGGTTCCTTCTCTTAATCACTTTATATTATGCTGGCATGACACTAATACTTCCATTCTATTCATCCACTTCATTTAACACATCCCCCTTCTTTCATTTAGTAACAAGTTTGAGGTTAACAGAAATATTTGAACTTTTATACATAAATAAAAGTTACAGCAGTTTAATGTTTATGTGTCAGGTGATCTTGTATCAAGACGATGGCAAAGATGGTCCTATACTTAGGTCGTACCTGAACAAGGTTCTCCAATTGGTACATGCAGAGTCCCAGTTCTGCCATTGTCGGTTTGTACATGTCCCGCATCTTGTAATCCTGCATCAACTTCACCAGCACTGCAAATGCTTCTTCTTCAGGCATCTGCAACATAACAATTGCAAGGAGGTATGGGACCCACCACATCTGTTCTACTGTCTCTGATATCGTCAGCTGCTTTATAATGTCATGAGGAAGATCCAATAAAATCAGAAGGGAATGGAACTGCATGGAACACAACAAGCTCTGATCTCTGCTGATACTCTTAATTTACTGGGTGGAAATATAAATCATGAATTGTGGCACTCCATTTATTTTACAAAAAAGTATAAAATTTATTTTATGGAAACCATCCGGACAACATATTTTGTCATTCTTCTGTGGATCCCTTGCCTCACCACATATTTTGATCCTCAAGCAAGGGTCATTATAAGGTGTTACAACATTAGGTATTACAGCACATCATTACATTTTACAACATAAAATACCACAAAATAATATGCAAGATCTCTGTTAGGTGGTATTAACACATTGCGGACCAGAGGGGCCATATGGCCCTCTACGTTTCCAAGCGTTGTGGACCGGTCGGGCCATATGGCCCTCTACGGTCACGTTATGTTGCAAAACGCTATATATCGCTGTGTGGCTTCGTTGAATCGTAACTACTGCGTAGATGACCTCAGGAATGATTGCTGCCTTATCTAGTAACTCGACCAGC